TGGAGGCCAGCGTCGCCCATTCGGGGTTCGCGTTGCTCGCGGACAGAGGAAGGGGTTCCCGGCCGCCCCGCCCCGCCCACGCCACACCCCCATCCCCCCCCGCCCGGGGTCTAACCTCCCTTGCAGGGCATCCTGTGCTGGCTGTGCTGAGCGCGGACGCCCTCGATCACCTCCCATTCGCCGCTGTCCCTCTTGATGGGGAAGCTGATGCTGAGGACGTGGTTGCACGGCTTGATGATCTTGAGGATCCCGCGCACGCGCTTCCTCTTGTTGTCGGCGCTTTCGCGCGTCTTCAATTCCTCCACCAGTTTGTCTTCCACGATGGCGGCGCCACGGTCGAAGAAGCCCTCCACCATGCCGAAGAAGTTGGGGTCGTCGTCGCCCGGCTCCGCGGCGGCCCGCTGCGAGTAGCCGCGGTGGCGTCGCGGCGGCTGCGGGGCCAGAGGCTCCGCGGTCAGTCGGTAGAAGCTGGTCGTCCCCCGGGCGAGCAGCCCCGCCAAGTTCCGCCGGTACATGTTGACTTTGTTGAACTCGTTGGCGACGTTGGCTCAAAGACGACGAGGGAGACCAAGTTGGAAAAGTTAACGCGGAAGTGGGAGTGACGCCAACACCCCCTTATTCCCCCCACCCCAAAAACTCCTCCTCTTCCTCCCTTTTCTCTTCCTGTTCGACGACTTCACCTGGACGATAACATCTGGACCTCGTTAGCTGGCTAGCTTAGCCTAGCATTAGCTACCCCGTATGAATTTCGGAACGCTAGTGACTAGCGTGTCCCAAATGATTTTTTTTCCAAATCAACTTGCTGTCTCCTTCCTTAACTGAAGCCCCTCAAGTTTGTGTAGCCTTTTATTTGGCTGGTTCCTCAAATTGTGTAATTGAAAGCTATTTATTCTTTTATTTTATTCAGAAATTGTTAAATGTCATTGAATTAAAATTAAAACAGTGTCGAAGATAAAACCACGAGAAGGATTCCGTTACTAAAAGAAATAACACACCCGCATTTCGCCAGATAAAATATTTTAGAACAAATTTGCCGTGGCGCCCTGGTTGCAGACAGAGTAACAAACACAAATGGACAAAGTGATGTACGCAAAACAAACAACAAAACTAATAAGGCAACTGCAAGCATAAATCACCAAATGAAATCCCTCGAACTCCCCTCACGCTTGACAAACAGGAGGTGCAGAGTCTGATTCCCTCTTGTTGCACATGTTGTGAGTGAAGCATATTTGTTAGCAGATGAAAGGAGGAGACAAGGGACTGAAGTCTCCTCCTTTGACCAGTATCCAAATTCTTCACTGTGAGGCATCACGAGTAAACAATTGGAGTTTTCAAACATTCCGTCATTTGTTGGCAGGTAGCGCACATGCACAAACATTGCTTACGTTCTGTTGACTCCGCTCTCGCTTCACTTTTCATTTTTAGCACAGACTCTCATTCCTCTCATCTGTACCTCTTTGATGCTACGACTCGACATGTTTGGCATCAAGTGAGGTTAATCAGCCGCTTCTTCTTCCTCTGTCAGCATGTGCGAGCGCCCCAAGATCCACGTGTTCCTGGCGGCCCCGCGGCCCTCGACCGGTGACGGCGGCTTGCAGAGTGTGCGGCTCCCCTGCTGGAGACGACTGAAGCTCACCTGGCGGGAGGGCCACCTCATCCCTGCAGCCGGTGAGGACTTACAACACGTCCCCAATATTAGTGTCGCACGTTTGCGGGACTGACTTGACTCGACCGATGCGGGCTGAACACGACCGAAAGCTTGCGCAGTGTGCGGGCTTCGCCAGCTAGTTTTTGTAACAGGCCATCGGTCGGCCCGTAGTTTTGCTGCGCTTCAAATGACGCCACTTCACCGTGTCTTGCTGGAGGTTGATAATGGACACGTTTTCTCAGTTGTTGTATGTCGCTGAGCTTTTGCAACTGTTTTCCAACATTTCCACAAATGCCAAATAAACTGATTCTGATTCTCAGACGAAGATGGCGGCACGCAGGAGGATGAAAGCTCACCGAAGGAGGCTTCGGCCTCAACAAGTCATCAGATCACCAGGCGGTCGCGCCGCCCAGAAGACCAGCGAGCATCCCCCCTTGGCGAGGTCTCACATTTGCCGGCTGATCAGCCTGAACCGCAGCTGTCCCTCTTCAGCCGGTACCTCTCCACTTGGACCCTGAGCCAAGCCCTATTCCTCAGAGGCATCCAATCGTCACGCTGCGCTACTAAGCCTGAACACACTCAAACGTCGGCGGCCCACGCACCAGGCACACCGGAGCTCTTCAGTCCGGCCTCCGGCTCGCCTCGAGGTGATGATGAGCTCCCTGGTGCGGCGAGGCGCTCTCCTGAAGGTCCAGGCGGGCCCGTTAGCCTGGCCCGGGTGGAGCAAGGAGGTGTGGTCCTTGAGGCCACCTCGAACGGCGTACTGTGCTCGCAGGAGGCCGACCATCCCGTTTCAGCTTCCGCTTTTAAAAGAGCTCGTCTCGACGAGGCGTCTGACGGCGGCGCTCCCAAAGGCTTTCGAGCTACCACAACACTTCTGGCCAGGTGTGCCGATGCGGCGGCTCGCTATCGGGTTCTGGTTGCCGTGGTTCATCCCTCTCAACTGAAGGAAATCAAGGTAGCCTGTTGACGACGTGCATAAGAAGAAGAAAAAAAACTCACAAAGATGTCAGCCCTCGCTAAATTGCGCTTCTCCTTTTTTGGTTCTGGTGCATCACAGATTTTCCTATTGTACGTAAAATTATTGCCGTGACCTTTATGTCATGCTATGCTCAAATATATTCCCATAATAATACAATCAACATGGTGGATTTGGTCCACAGCAGTTGTGGTCTGAAACTCGCCCACATGACTTGATGATTGGGGCCTATCGTGTGATTTTCAACTGATCAGGTAAATAGATCGGTTGCAGTCATTTTCAAAACATTTCAAAATCAAGAAGATGGAAAGTAATCCAAATGTGCAATTATCTTGCCAAATAGAATCGTAGCAGCTTAGTTTTATATTACCCAATGTTAGGTTTCAGTTTTTTAATTTTCATTTAGCGGCGGTGTAGTTGATGACGCAAACAGAGCTGCAGGCACGCACGCACAGTATAGGCAGGTACTTAAAACCAAAGACCAAAGGTTTGGACTCGGGTGCTAAAAAAACGTGATCAGGACATCCCTACAGTATAGTCGAGCGTATCTGTGGCCTCTGTCAATCGAGCCCATTCCAGTGGCAACCACGATCCTAAACGTCAACATGAAGCGGCTGTCATCCTTCAAGGTGAAGCGTGGCGCGTCTGCGGGCTCCCTGGTGCCCTTGGCCAGCCTGGTGGTGACGGACCAATCGGCCGTGGACATGACAGTGCTGCTGTGGCGGCGGGCGGCGTTCTGGGCGGCGGCCGTCGATGTCGGAGATGTCCTCTTCATCACAGGTGCGCAAACATAGCAACCCCGCGCTTCAGCCCCTGTGCATGAAGCCCTGATGTGATTAATGTGTGGGAGTGGCTTGGTGGGTTCCATCCTGAACTTTGACCTCATCTGTCCGTGTCAGGCCTACAGCTGAGTGAGGACACCTGGAGGGGAGAGAAGATACTGGAGTCCACCTTCAGGAGCAAACTGCTCAACTTGGGTCATGTCAGTGCCCCCAGCTGCCCCACAGGTCCCCCTGCAGATAGATACCCGCGCGTATCAGCCGTTTTGCGAGCCCCACCGGTTCACCTCCTGCCCCTGTCTGTATTTCAGGTGGCCAGCATGTCGATGCTGGCTCCGTCTCTTCTCTCTCCGACTTTCTCCGAGAGCGGCGCCCTCTGCTGCTGTCCGTGCCGCGACGCCCCCCCCAGGACATGAAACGTCTGCCGTATGCCCCCCTGTGGCCACGCGCAGTCAACACGCTGTTCCACGCCTTGCTTCGTGTCAGGCACGCATACGTCAGCGCGGGTGAGTGACGAGGGACTGTGGTGTGGCTGGCGTGTTGGGACAAGGTGTGTCAAATGGCAAAAGAGATTAAGTAAATCTGATAAGTGGATGACAAAAATAGATTGACGCAAAATATGCGCTCAGAACCTCCTCCGGCCGTGCCTTTTCCTGTACGGTTTGTTTTTCCACGCGTACATTTGATGCCGACGCACGCGCTCATTTGCGATGATGGCTTTCGCGGGAGCTCGGCTGTTTTCTGAAGCTGAGCCATGATTGGGTTTCATGATTGAGCCATGAGCAACTGTGATTTCATTCTCGATGGCGGCAAAATGGCCGCCCCTTGAGATGGACAAAAACAGGGTGGCTTTTCCTGCTAATCTCATATTCCACAAACGTAATATTCATCAGAATGCCGTGTTTCCACAAGTGGGGCTGCATAGGACAAATTCAATTTGGGGCTTGATTTCCCTTGAGTACAATTTGGCAGAGCCACTCCCACAGCGCCCTCTGCAGTCATTGGCTCCACCAAAGCTGCGTGGTTAATTCACAACGGTCAAATAAACATTGGTTTTGTCATACACGTCCATGCAATTGCAAATGTTTTCCTCTTCTTAGACGCAGTAATCGAAAGGATGATTAATTGCTGAAATATTTGTTGGGGACAGCCCTACCTGTTATCACATGTGTGTCACGCTCACTTGTTGTCATGTGTCGTTAGGTGTGTCACCACGTTTTGTCCCATGTGTGGCAGAGTGGCGAGCGGAGGCGGAGTCTTGCCGCAGGTCAGCTCTAGAGCGTCATGCGGTGGCGAGCGTGGTGGGGGCTGACGGCCAGAAGGGGGTGCTGCTGTTGTGGGGTTCAGCTCTGGACTGGCTTCCGCGCTTCAGGAAGCACCAAGGTCGGCTTGCTGTCTGTCTGTGTGGCTAAATGTGTCAGCCTTGTCACGTGACCGCGCGGTGACTCCCTTTCACCTTCAGATGCCATCTGGGATATTCGCTTCCTCCTGGTCAGGGAGGCTCCAGACTTCGATCTCCCCGAGCTTCACACGACCCCCTGGAGCGACGCCCGGCGAGTGGACGCCGCCGACCGGCGGCTCGGCTGTTTTGTGTGCGCGACTGGTCGCAGCGTGGAGATGGACGTGGACACGCTGCTCTCACAGCAATACTCAGGTGGCAACGCTTGCGCACCTCCTGACCTATTCACGCACGCACGGTCCGTCGGTTTTCGCTGGCGTTCGTCCTCACTGGGGTCACGCGTAAAACAGAACCAGAGGGCCCAGTTGCACTCTGGACTGGTCACCGGCCAAGTTCACCAGGCAATTGCGGGGCGTGGACAGACAAACATTACATCAGTCATCGGTCGATGTCAAGACACAAACGATGTCGAGACCGCAGGCACACGAGCTCTCGTGCGAACTTTTGAGAAAGGGGTGCAGTGTAAATCTCGACATCAGAATTCGTTCATGCAAGTACGGGCAGGCAGTCCATGAAAAAAAAAGTGGTTGACTATAACATTTTCAATAGTCGCTCCCCTCAAACATTTCTACAGGAGCTGTCCGTGTTCACACAAGTGTATTCTTCACCATTCAAAGGCGGATTATCTATGAAGTCGTCTTCTAGCGCTTCACAAAGGCGGCAGTATCGGGCGTCAACTGCTTACAGTATCACTGAGGTGCTTGTGAAGGTGCCCTCCAGTGGACAAAATTAGCAACAACGGTTACTCTTATTGGAAAATTGCAGTTGATGTCTCCTGATTGGATTGATGACAGGACGCTTCCAGCCCGTGGGCCGTTGTTTTAATAGCTTCCCATTGACAGACACCGGAGTGGTCGCCCGTGAACGTCGGGGCTCGGGAAGGCCATTGTGACTCAGACTCGTCGTCCATGTGACGCGCGACCCGAGCGATGTGCTGAAGGCGTTCGTGTCGTCCGCAGGAGAAGCGCTACTCAGGGTGCAGGCGCTAGCTTTCCGCTTCCAGCCTTCCCACGGCGCGCCGCGGCCCATCTTGGACAGCTCCGTGCCGCTCTCCGCGTTCCTGGCGGCGCTGAGTGGCGACGTGACGTATTCGGGCTGCAGCCGATGCGCCGCCGAGCTCGACGTCGACATCAACGGAATTTACATTCCGTGCTACCCTTGTCTGCCTTCCGGCGCCGTGCGGCGATACTACAGGTGAGACACGCGGGGCGCCGCCTGTCTGACTAGGCAAGGGGTGCGCATTGGACACCATCAAATGTCGGCGTCGTCTTCAGGCCGGCCGTGTTGACGGTGAGCGGGCGGGGCTCCGCGCAGGTGTGCGTTCAGCTTCCCGGCGTCACTGTGCAGAAGATTCTGGACGTGCCGCCCGATCGGCTACTCCGAAACGCAGGTGAGACCCGCTTTGTCGAGTTCCGATTGGCTCTCGGCACCGCTTTGAATGTTTCCTATTGGCTGTCAGCTGCAGGCTCTGATGTCAAACACGTCCAGGTGGCGGCGGAGAGGCTCCACGCGCTCCTGAGCCTTCCCAGAAAAGACGTGCTCATCACCGTGCGCAGCCTTTTCCTGTGTGATGAGAACAGCGCCCCCATCAGTCGGGAGTTAACGCTGCTCGACCTCCGCTTTGTCTCCGACACGTGAAGAGCGCCCGGCACGGCTCAGTCAGGTCAGGTCACGTCTTTTGCGAAGGATCACTCTGCACTAAGAGAAAAGTTGTCCCAGCAACGGGTTATGATTCACACGGGCTTGGACAAGATTCTTGTCGATGCTTCAGTGTCAGAGTGAATCTAAGAACTCACACGGCCTTTGTGTCCGTGAGCAAGGGACCGAACCCCCACTTGCTCCTGATGCTGCGTCAACAGTAGATGAATGATGAGTCAGTGTGAAACACTTTGAGTGCCTTGTCACTGGAAAAACGCAATCCAAGCGAAAGACGCTCAAGCAAACTTTAAAAAAAAATCCATTTTCTGACCCGCTTATCCTCACAAGGGTCGCGGGGGGTGCTGGAGCCTATCCCAGCCGTCTTTGGGCAGTAGGCGGGGGACACCCTGAACCGGTTGCCAGCCAATCGCAGGGGCACACATAGACGAACAACCATCCGCACTCACACTCACACCTGGGGACAATTTGGAGTGCCCAATCAACCTGCCATGCATGTTTTTTGGAATATGGGAGGAAACCGGAGTACCCGGAGAAAACCCACGCAGGAACGGGGAGAACATGCAAGCTGCACATAGGAAAGTCGGAATCGAATCCTGCACTGTGAGACCGATGCACTAACCAGTCGACCACCGGGCCACCCTCGCACTACTTCAATACTCCCCAATTCTACATGGATCGAGCACACCCTTTAATCAATTCACCTCCTGGCCAGTGGGTGGCGCTTTGCATGTGATTGGCATTGTATGGACAGAAGGCACACTGGACCCCCCCAGAAACCGGCCAAAATGGCAATGGAAACGACCAACAATGACGTGAAGCCTGCACTGTTGACATTGGAATTTGATGTTTGGGCTCCTTTTTCGATTCCGGTGGAAATTCCACAATTCAGGAAATAGACAAAAGCAAGGAGGTCTCATGGAAGCGGCGGCGGCCACAATTTTTAATATTCATCACAAATTCCAAGAGGAAGCAAATATGAAGTGAACATGCATTAGGACTTTTTCAGGTGTGATACAGAACTTCCACGTCTACGTTTACACTCCATCTGCACAGACGGATGATTGCTTTGCAAAAAAAAAAAAAAACGGCCACGAAAATAAATTGCTCAAAACTGTCAACAGGTACTCTTCATTATTTGTGTATTACCACTTCTTGCGGCATCAACATCAAAGAAAGCGATTATGGAATGGTGAGGTTCTCAACAAAAGCCAGCTGGGAGTCCATCCGTCCGTTCACATTGTCGTCAGCATTTGAAAGATCGCAGCAAAAGAGCAAGTTAGAGTGGAGAGCATCTTGTTGCTAAGCCGAAGTCGTTCTGGACTATCTTATTCACACAAGCTGTTTGGGAGTGCGTTCAAAGATATCTTCTGGACCCTGTTGTTGTGTATGCCGATATACGGCAAGCGGATTGTTACAGTGAGCTTGTTACATGCGGCATAGCCGTTGGCGAGCACTGGATGAGCGGACGGGCAGGTGGGAAGGAAGGAAGGAAGGACTTGTTGCCTGCTCCTCTAATTTCCTTTGGCTGTTTCTTCAGCCACATCCATCAGATCGTCAAACAAATCTGGTGCAACACAAACAACAAAAGAGCCTCACTTTTAAATAAAACGCACCCTGTTTGACTTCCTCAAGCCTTCGACACAAACAACTCAACACCAGTGTGTGTGTGTGTGTGTGTGTGTGTGTGTGTGTGTGTGTGTAAACCGCTTGTAGCACGCTTCAGGAGGGCAGATGTTGCACTTTGGGTTCGTTTGCAACGGAGCTATTTGCAAACGCAAACGTGCTCAGCCCTAATCAGAAGTACGAGTGGGGTCGGTATCACTGAACACTCGAGTGAATATTTGTTGGCCTAATCTGGAAAAAAAAATGGAAACTACAACATCCCTCTTGATACATTTCTGATTTCAGCTCCTTTTTTTTTGGGAGAGGGGGCTTGGAGGGGGGTTCTTCTTTCCATGCTGTCACACAATCAAACCTCTTTGTTTGAGAGCCCAGTGTCGTGTTGACGCAGATGTTCACACTCACCTCCGTCACTCAGACCCATTCCGCCTCTCGGTCCAGGTCCTGCGTAAGCACATCCGCCGCTCAGTTCTCCTGGTCCGGCTCCGCCTCCTGCCCCTCCGCCCGGGGCGCCTTGCTCGGTGAACAAGCCGTCAAAGCCCGACCGCTTGGGCCTCTTGTCGTCGTCGTCTCTGTCGAGGAATCTGGAGAAAAAGCTTCCCTTGTCGTCGTCGTCGTCGTCTTTCTTCTTGTCGTTTCCAAAGGAGAATAATCCTCCCTTGTCACGCTCGTCGTCTTTTTTGTCGTCTCCTCCGAAAAAAGACTTGAAGCCTCCTTTGTCCTCTTCTTTGCTTTTGATGCCGAGCATGTTCTTGAACGCGCCCTCCACTATGTCCCCTGCACACAAACGCCATTAGTTGCCTGTGGCGCCACCGTGTGGACACTCTGACGTTGTCTGATACCGGCGAAAGGGTTAATCGACGTATTGGGCACCCCTACTGTACATCTACAGTACTAACATTTGAGATCCACGAGTCACATGATAATGTAACACCTTCACAAGTGTTAAACGTTTATAAAGGCGTGTGATATATTCCCAAATGTAACACGAATTAGCTGTGCGATTTTTCATTTGTTTTCCAGTTTGGTCACAACAGCTTTCTGAGCGCGACATACTCCAAAACTACCTTGACTTGTTACGGCGCGTCATGTGACTGAAACAAAATGGAGGAAGCCCACGTCAGAAGAAGCAAACGACTTTTTGCTACTCACCCGCTTTGTCTCCAATCATCTCGGCCACTTTCTCCATCTTTAGCGTCCGTGTGGCGTTGCGCGGCGGACGAGGTTAGGCCGCTGACCGTGACTCTCTGCTCTGCTCTTATTGGCAGACCAGGAAGGGGGGGGGGTGTCCATACCGGTTGGACCTGTTCCACCTGTCACTCTTGAACTATGTGTGTGTGTGTGTGTGTGTGTGTGTGTGTGTTTGTGTGTGTGTGTGTGTGTGTGTGTGTGACTCACCTGAAAGATGCACACACGCAAAACAAACATTTTTTTGGTCACGTGTGTTTTGATTCCAAGTCACATGATTGCCTGTCACGTTGCTCTCATAATATCGTTAATTAGCCTTGTCTCATCTGTACGGTAACGTGTGAGAGCACGTTTGCTTTCTCCAAAAATTTGCCTGAAGGCAACATGGGGTGCTAATTACAATGTCGAGCATATTGGATAAGTCAGTGTTTCACACTTTTTTTTTTCTCTACGGTTCATACAGTTCACTGTGTGTGTGTGTGTCGAGAGAGACAGCCTCAAGTCTCCCAGCATAGGAAAAAATAATACACTCCATACATATGGTTCAGAAATGTCTTATATTTCAGATAAAGTGATGATCTGGGCAGCAATATGGGGTGATTTTTATTGGAGCTTATTTATATTTTGTTAATGGGAAATTTAATGCTGACAAGTATGGTAAAATGTTGCACGAAGAAATGTTTCCATCCTTGCCATACGACGATGGGAACTCCCCAGTTGACTTTCACCAGAAATCGTCTCAAGGAACGTAAAGCAAAAATTGTTGCAAACACAAATTCGGATGTTCTTTGAAGTGTTCTTCAGCCGTGGAGGACACGCATCCAAATGAGTTTTCCAACAAAATGGCAGTCATAGAGCGCATGACTGAACAGTTGATGTGAAGAACTAAACTAAACGTTCGTTTTCCGACGTATGGAGACTTGTGGGACACAATTTTTAAAAAATGTATTTTATTAGCAAATTCCCATGGCTTACCACGAAACCAAAATGTCCCGCCCACATTCAGTCTTGTCTCCAAGATACCCAAAAATGAACTCTGCGTGAAATATTTGCCGCACGTTAGTGAATTGGACATGCGAGCATCTCATGGAAGACCACTGACTTGCGCCGCATGTCACTGTACGTTCGTTGTTTGTATGCACAAGTCAAAACGCGGCAGTCATGGAATTCTCCTGTGGTTAGCCTCCTTCCGCGTGTGCAACAAGACAGACTCAAAAATTTTCACCTCCATGCAAAAGTTAAATGTCAACGGAGCTCTCGTCTACACTTGAATGAGGACACAGGACATCTTGTTTGTTGTTGTGATTCCTTTTGCATGTTTGATGCGCGGAACTTTGTTTCATGTGCGCTGGTTGTTTACGTTCTCTCGGAATCCGGATGACATGTGGACGTGATACTTTTGGGTGCTGTGACAGTGAAATGGTTGGAATTTTCTGCGGCGCAGCTGACGATCTCCCCGCGGCAGGCTAAACGTTGAATCGATTGCTGCTCTCGTACGCCGCAGCGGCGCCAAGTCCGGCTTTCTTGAAGTTTGTGTGGCAGGTCGCGCGCAGTGTCCTGTCAACCCGAGTGCAAGCAACGTCTGTCGGCGCCCCCAAAACAACTCAAGTAACAAGCTGACTTAGTTTTGGCTCTCCAAACATTTGTGTCATCATCCTTTCCAAAAAAGTGAGAGGCAGAATGACGTCGCTGTTGCAGCGTGGTTTATTTCAGGTTATTGACAGTTGTACATGTTGGGTCGTCTTTTGTTCCTAGCGACGTGATTGTTTACTGCGGAGCAGCTCCACGAGGACCTTTGGACGCGTCTAGTCAAACAGTCCGCCCAGAGCTTTTGCAATTCCTGCGGCGAAAGGAAATGAGACAAAGTTGGTCATGCGAGGGCATCGCCAGGGCAAACGCTGCTTCGCCTTTGTGTTGACAACTCACCTCCTCCGCTCCCCTCATCCTTGCCAGCGACCATGGACAGGACATTGGACACGTCAAATCCTTTGTCCTCCTTCTTGTCCTCTCCTCTTCCCTCTTCACCTCCCCCTGCGAACTTGCTTAAGGCGTCCTTTGCCACATCACCTGCAGAACAAGCAGACCATGATTTCTTTCTGCACCAGTTGACTCCAATTGCCCATCAGCCCTGCACGCGTTTCGTTCGGAAAAAAACAAAACAAAAACCGAAAGGATCAGCGCCCTACATCAACACTTGGGTGCCACTCAAGTTTTAAAGTTCAAGTTGTGTACGTGTCACATAAAAACACGAAACTCTTCACTCACCCACTTTCTCTTCAATCATGTTGACGAGAACCTTTTGGCCCGTTTCGCTCTGAAAGAATTTGTCCATATTGTCGACTGCTGACGGGTGGGTGGAGGTAACTCGGTCTTATAGTGACAGGGGTATTTGGGCCAGCAGGTGACGCCCTGCCGAGGAATCGGGAGGGGCCCGGATGAGTCACAGGCGTAACCAGTGGAACGGGTTGGTCTGGCAACCAATGAGTCTTTCCTTCGTTCTTCATTCTGGCTCCTTAATCTCTTTGAAGGACATCTCGTGAGAAGCAACATGCCAAAGCTGACAATTATTCCTTTCGCACCGATGCCTCCCGACAGAGATGTGCCCAACAGTCAGGAGAACCACACCGCTTGGGGGGGGGAGAAGGGAGGGTCCTTCCCGGCGGCCGGAGATGTAGAGTCCCCATATCCAGGACAAGTAGGACCAGAGCCTCCTGTCCGCAGAGGAGTAACATTTCGGGTTGTATGCAACGCCACAACAGCTCAAGTCTAAGAGGCCTATTAAGCCCGTGTTTTGGTTTCGATTTGTCTTTTTGATTTTTTTTAGATGTACTTTTTCTTACACTTTTGATTGTTTCAAAATACAGTGGTATCTCTACTTACGAACGTCTCTTCGTGCAAAATTTTCCGGTTAAGAAACGCCTCGACAGGAAAATATTGCCCCTTGCTACGAAAGAAATGTCAAGATACGAAAGGTAAAAATACAGTGTGGGCTGCGACTCGCAGCTCCGAGTTTCCTGAACGCAACTTACTTCTAGCTGCTCTGCCATTGGCTACTACCGAGCATCTTCCTGGCATCCCATTGGCTAAGAGGGACGTCTATATTTGTCGATGTGTGTCGATAGATCAACAGATAGATGTGTGTCGATGCAGCGTCCTCGTCATTCGCCCCTGGGCATCGGGCCATGAGGCGTTCCGGTAGTTTTACGTCAATGTGAAGAAAAAGGTGTTCACCGGTCGGACGATCGCTCACGATGCTGATGTTTGCCTTGGACATTTTCGAAGGATTGTTAAAAGCCGACGAAAGCAAACGTCCTCGAATCAGTTCTTGACAAAACGCCAGGAAAAAAACACTTTTGAGAGAGAACATGAACTAAAGAGGGCAAAAATACGATGAGGACGCAGTTCAAAGTTGAATGACCATCATTTTTATTCGTTTTGTTTTTTTTAACATTCTGCACAACTCTCATTTATCGTGCAATAATCTAATCGTAACATGTATTTGTTCCATATTTTGATGCACCTTTATGCTTCAGAAAACATTTATGTCTGAATTTTGACGGGGCTTGGAACGGATTAGGGCATTTGCATGGAAAACGCGTCTCGACTCACAAAGTTTTTGAGTAACGAAATTTTTTCCAGAACCAACTAATTTCCTAAGTAGAGGTACCAAGAAAAGACGAGTGTCCTGTCTTTTACCCTGCATCCCTTTGGGATAGTAAAGTACACTTGAACCAAACACAGAAGACACACACACACACACACACACCCTCGACTGTGGTGTCAATAAACAAAGTATCATTCCTCTGTTGCTACGTAGAACAGAAACAAAAACAAAAAAAAAAAAACGGCCATGGAGTTGAGTGCAAAAATATATCGCACCCTTCCATCATGATTGCACATTCCTCTTTTGTGGAGGCTTCTCAAACGCCAAGTGTCAGCTTTGGTTCCGTCGGATGACCATAATATTGTCCTCTTTTTTTTTTTTTTTTTTTTTTAAACGCCGGCGCTCGACTCCGAAACCGTTTCATCGCGTGGCTGGATTTCCTTCCTGCTGCTGGAGGGCCGCGTACAGAAGGTCCGAAAGAAAGCCCCCCGCGCAGCACAAAGTAACTTTGGCGTCCTGTCTGGCCGGGGTGCGTTTAGCGCTTCTAAGTTGAGCATCAGCAGCTTGAGGAGGGCGGTGTCGAAAGCCAGCTCGTCCGACAGAAGCGCTTCCGGCGGCTGGCGCGCGCAGGCGTCTCGCAGCAGCTCCTTGACCACGGCGTCCATCACCTTGTTGACGCTGTAAATGTCGGCCTCGGTGATGGCGCACAAGCGCGCGTCCTGCAGCACCTTCTTGGACAGCCGCTGGATGATGGGCAGAGTGTCGCGGGAGAGAAGCGTCATCTTGTGTTTTTTTTGCAGGCGCGTCAGAAGCTGGACGACGAGCACCGCCACCAGCGACGTGACCATCTCCTCCAGAACGGAGGCCGAGCGGGCCGGGGTCACCTCCGAGGACAAAGTCTTGGGCTGCGAGGCCGTCGCGTCCGCGCGCAAACTCTTCTCTTGCGAGCGGAAGGGCGACGGCCAAGCGACGCGGACGACGCCGGAGGGCGGAGTCTTCGATCGGGCGCTGTCCGTCTCCGACGGCTTTGGGCTGTTCCTGGTTTCCGTGACGACCGTCTCCTCCTGCGCGGAAGGTAGGGACCCGTTGCGGAGGCGCGAGGTCGGCCTCTCGGGCCCGGTGTCGTTGGAGTCGTCCCGCTCCTCCTTTGGTTGCGGGTGCACGGTTTCCGCGATGAGCGTGTCGATGTCCTTCAAGCAACCGTAGACCTCATCGGCGTGGTTTTTCCTCGTCACCGGTTCCATCTTGAGCCAGAGGAGCAGTTGCTGGACAAACTTGGTGGCGGTGTCTTCCACGATCTTATGCAGAACTTGGATGTTCTCCGGTTTTTCCTCGTCCACCTCCAAGATGAGCGGCTCCGAGTAGCGCCTCCACACTGCGTCCGACTGGACGGTGGTGCGGTTGCTGGTCATGTAATGGTAGATTTTATCCGCGAGGTCGACTGAGAACTTATCCGCTTCATGCCGCAGCGCGTCCACGTCGATGGCGACGCCCCCGGGCGGCGGCGCCACTTTGTGGAACACGTCCTCGAGACCCGAGCGGATCCCCTGGAAGCTGAGCTCCTTATCGGCGTCCGGCGCCGGAGTCCCGCGTTGGGACACCTCGTCTTCCTTGCGCATGCGCATGCATCGACAGCGGACCTTCTGCAGTTCAAAGGTCAGCTCGTCAAACTTCTTTTGGCAAAAGTTCAAAAAGTGCCGCTTGCGAGAAGATTCGTTGCTGCCGTTGGGCGACACGCAGGATTCAAAGAACTCGCAGAGTTGATCTTTGATCAGCCCCAGATTGAAATGAGGCGTCGAAGAGCGAAGGCGCCCGTCCTCCGACGGCTCGGCGTAGTGCAGGTCGTTGATGATGGTCGTCACGATCCCCGCCGCCGTTTTCTTCAGTTCGCCGCTCGCGCCGGGCGAGAGCGACTTATCCTCGCCGCCGGTCCATTTGCGGAGAATGTTCATCACCGCCTCCGTGGTTTCTTCCCGGTCGAAAGTGCACACGTCGTTGCCGCACTTGGACTCGCGGGGAGGCTCCTGCGCGCTCTTTTGGCGCCAGCACGGCCTGAAACACTTGGCGTACACGGCCATCTTGCCCAGGTAAACCTTGAGAGCGCCGCAGGCCAGCAGCACCATCTTGGCCAGAACTTCGATCTTGGTGAAGGTTCCCGGGATGAAAATCAGCGGCACCAGCTGACTGTCGGGGCTGGTGGCCGCCGACAAAGTGTGATTGACCCTCTTTGAGATCTCCCTCTTGAAGACGGAGTCCAGCTTTTGCGAGCTCTTGCTCCGCTGCTCCGGCACGCTGAGCGCGGTGGCGAACGCCGTGTTCAGTCCGCTCTCCACTTTCAGCTTCATTCTTTTCTTGTCGGCGCTCTGAATGTGCTGCTTAAACTCCGGGATGATGACTCGGATGGTGTCGGCGCAGAGTTTCTGCATGATGTCCGTGCACATGTCCGCCAGGATGACCTGCGTGGCGGAGTCGATGGTCCCGGCGGCCAGCATGCTCCACTGCGCCGGCAGGATGCGCTCAAAGTATTTCTGCACCGTCGGGAGGATGACCTCTGCCTTGATGGAGTAGCTCTCCATCTCCACGGCTTTTTCCCGTCGGCGACTCGTCCCGTTCCCAAAGCGTCGGTCGGCACAGCCGCTCTCGCTGCCGCGAGTGCTTTGACGCCTTTGTGACGTCACAAAGCTTGTCATCAGAGTGGACGACATCCGCTGCTTTTTGTGACCGCACGGCGATGACGTCGCAAGGCTTTTAGTCAACGCAAGCGCTTCATTATGTCACGCTGTGTGCGACGCATTCGAATGATCTGACGTCGCCACTGTCGTCTTGAAGAATTGCATGTGCCTCCCAACGTCCCGAGAGGGGGGGGGGGGTCATAGTCTGATTTCACGTCCCCGCATACCGTGACATCGTCATGGATCTTGCTTTTCTGATTAAAAAGCAACATTTTTGCTCTGTGAACAGTTGCGCATTTATGTTGCCTATTTGACACTGGTAGCTTGTCTTGGGGTGGGGGGCGGGGTCTCGTCCATTGCTCCTAAATGTTTGCACCGTTGTACATTTAGGTTGGAGTCTTTGCTGTTGAGGGAGGTGAACTTGAAACCATTGTCCCGATTTTCTCCTTGCAAACCGCGTTGACACCCGAGGCTCCCTCTAGCTCCATATTTCATCCAAGACGACAAACTCTTGCCCATGTTGGGGCCCCGGGATTCCGGTGTTGATCTCCAGACTTGAGGGCCGGTGTGAGGATGCCCACGCATACCGCTGGGAGTAACCCAGCTCGTTGGCGGGTTCCTCATTGGCGGGCGGGGTCTTCGGCCAAGGTCCGTTCCGATCCAGTAGACACGCGACCGGAATTTTGGGCGGGATCAAGGTGCCGCCGATCAGCTCGTCGATGTCGTTCAAGCAACCGTAGACTTGATTGGTGTGGTTCCCCCGCGTAACCGGCTCCATCTTGAGCCAGAGGAGCAGTTGCTGGACAAACTTTGTCGCGCGATCTTCCGCCATCGTTTGCAGAACTCGGAGATCCTCCGCGTTGGTCTCGTACACTTCCAAAAGGAGCAGCTCTGAGAAGCGCCTCCAGACCGCAGCCGACCGGACCGTGGTCCGATTGGCGGTCATGTAACGGCAGATTTTATCGGCCAGCTCTCGGGAGAACTTGTCGGCTTTGTGTCGCAACGTGTCCACGTCGACGTTCGTGTCCCCGGCCGGCAGCGCCACCTTGTGGAAGATGTCCTCCACACCCGGCCAGACTCCCCGGAAGCCGAGCTCGGTGTCGGGCTCGGGGGTCTGCGGGACGCTGCCGGGCAGACAAATCTCTTCTTCCCGGCGCATACGCATGCAGCGACATCGGATCTTCTCCAGCTCAGAGGTCAACGCCTTGAAAGTTTTTTGGCAAAAATTCCAAAAGTTGCGTTTGCGACAAGACTCGCTGTTGCTCGTACGTGACGCGCAGGATGCAAAGAACTCACACAGTTGATCTTTGATCAGCCCGAGATTGAAATGAGGCGTCGATGAGCAACTGGGCTCCTCCTCCTCCGAGGAGTCCGGGTAGTGCAGGTCATTGATGATGGTCGTCACAATTTCAGCCGCCGTTTTCTTCAGTTCGCGATTTGTCCTGAGTGAAAGGGACTCGTCCTCGCTGTCGGTCCATTTGCGCAGAATGTTCACCGCCGCCTCCGTGGTTTCTTCCCGGTTGAAAATACACACGTTCTTGGAGTCACAGGGGGGTTCCGCTCTTTTCTTTTGCCGACAACACGGTCGGAAACACTTGCTGTACACGACCATCTTGCCCAGGTAAACCTTGAGAGCGCCGCAGGCCAGCAGCACCATCTTGGCCAGAACTTCGATCTTGGTGAAGGTTCCCGGGATGTAAATCAGCGGCACCAGCTGACTATCGGCGCCGGTGGCCGCGGACAAAATGTGATTGACCCTCTGCGAGATCTCCCTCTTGAAGAGGGAGTCCAGCTTTTGCGAGCTCTTGCTGGGCTGCTCCGGCACGCCGAGTGCCAAAGCGAATGCGGCGCTCAGTCCGCCCTCCACTTTGAGCTTCATTCTTTTCTTGTCGGCGCTCTGAATGCGGTTTTTAAACTCCGGGATGATGACTCGGATGGTGTCGGCGCAGAGTTTCTGCATGATGTCCGTGCACATGTCCGCCAGGATGACCTGCGTGGCTGAATCGATGGTGCCCGCGGCCAGCATGCTCCACTGCGCCGGCGGGATGCGCTCAAAGTATTTCTGCACCGTCGGGAGGATGACCTCTGCCTTGATGGAGTAGCTCTCCATCTCCATGGTCGCGCCGCTGTCGACTTTTTCTCTTGCCAAATCGTTGGCAGATGCTCTCGCTGTGAGTGCTTTTGACGCCTTTGCGATGTCATAAAGCTTCTTTTCGCCAGAGAAGACAACAACTCGCGCCCTTTGTGACCACATGCAAAGTCTCCGCGGTGATGTCCGAATGGCGAGCTCAATTTCGTAGCGACGTCGATTTGACGATGCGCCTGCGGTTATGCCGCAACCTTGTTTGCTCAAGGTCTATATTGCGCAGGTCTCAGCCTAAATTTTGCTGTTAGAGAACCGGAAGTAAACGTTAATTTTGAAAACTAAACGCTCTCTCCCGTGACCAGACTGGAGCTTCGGGAATTCTTGGAATAATGTCCGTCTCCTCCTGTGACTTGACTGGAGCCATTCAATTCCCTCTGGGTGGCCGCAATGCCAGGTTGTCATCAAGAAAAAGGCCCACAGGCTGCTCATGCGAAAAGAAACGCAGCCGAATGAACTCACATCAGTCATGACTTTTCAAAGTCTGCACACATTCTTTTGAATTTATTGTATTCAGTCCAAACTGAATACATCATCTCTCAGCAGTCACCTGGGTTCACTTTTTTTTTTTTTCACAGTTTGCTCTGGACGGGGGCTCGTCTAGGTTTGATTGCACTGATAATTCAAACCCCCATACAAGCCCCGCCCATCCACGACACATGTCCGAGAGAGCTCATCATTGACTCCCAACACGAATGGACATTTTCTTACATAATTTTTCAACTTAAGCCTGACGGCCTTTTTAGATTCTCAAAGCACATCAACACAAAAAGGAAGCGAGGAAATTAAAGAGGGAATGAAGGAAGGGCGAGTTTGACGTGGATGCAAAACAAGCGGAAGAGTAAAACTCCCAAAAGACTGTTGGGTCCATGACGAGATCCCAGGCGACAAATTATGGAGGGACTCGATTGACGCCTCGGTGGGCCACGAGATCACACGAGGCTCAGGTCCAGTTTGGCGAGGTAAGGCGATCGGAAGGACCCCAGGTAGAGGCTCCCGTTGTGTTCGTGTGCCTCGCTCACGTATGCCGCAACCAGCCCGTCAGGGTCGTGGAAGCTCCGCGAGCAGATGCCGCCGTCGTGGAGCTCGGCCACCAGGCTGTAACGAGGGACCAACTTCATCATGGCGTTCTGGCTCAGGAGCTGGGAAGGGGGTGTGTGGGGGGGGGGGGAAACGGTCACGCTTCAGCTCTCACTGGTCGGTCTGCATGAGGGGTGGTGTCGGGGGGTATACCTTGAAGAGTAACTTCTTGATCCAGGGTCTCTGCGACAGGAAGTCCAACATGGAAAATCCGGGGTTGGGGCGCACGGCGGACATCGCCACCCAGTAGCCGCCGCTGGAGCTGGGACGGATGTTGTTGGGGAAACCAGGAAGGTTCTCCATGAACGTGTCCATGCCGCCCTTGTTCAGTCCTGCCACGTGGACCCTAGCGCAAAGTCCGAGGGTTACTCGTACGCGTGCCAGAGGTGACTCAGGTCACGTGACTTGACTGCAGTACTTGCCAATTTTACCATCAGGATGCACTTGACTCGCCTCGACTTGAACTGTATGATTGACGAGTGACAATCGTCTGTTTACATTTGAAATTCCGCATTTCAGGATGGTGTGGCATTTGGTTTGAAAGAAGAGTGACTTGTGTCGTGCGTACAAATCGGGCAACCCACGAGTATGCGCTACCTTCTAACTTTGCCGTACCTGCGTATTCGGGCCATGGTGGTCTCCACCACCAGGACGGACTCCTCGTCGGGAAGCAACTGGATGCCGTTGGGGAATCGCAGGTTGTCCATGACCACGCTGACTTCTCCGTTCTCCGTGTCGTACTCCAAAACCCTGACAGGAAGTAGAAGTGCGTCACCCACGCCCTGCGACCGGCCAGCGCCAAAGGCCGTCCACAATTTTGCCATACCGTCCGTCAGCTGTGGCCTCCATGACCAGGTGGAGGTAATCTCGGCGCTGCCATCTGCTGCTAGAGGAGGTGAAGTACACCTTCTTGCCATCCTGCGTCACCGCCAGGTCATTGATGAACAGCAACTTCTTGCCGCCCACCTCCTGACCTCCCAACACCAACCGTACCGACTCACCTAGCAAAAAAAAAAAAAAAAAAAGGGGGCCGAGGAAATAGGGGAGCGGGCTTCAATGTGTCCAGTCAAGAAGAAATTCAGATTGGATTGGATACCATTTTATTGTCAAATGTGCAGGGTGCCTGTGTCACTTCCTGCCTGCCGCTTCTAGCGCTGGAATGTCCACCAAGTGCGGCTATTCCGCTCGCTTTTGCCCAAGTTCAGTGCAGGCCATTTACAACTGGTGTCATTAAAAGCTTGAGCCATGTTTGGAAATACGCTGAGCCCATAATAATGATCATAATAACCCAGTGGCAACGAAGGCCTTGGACATTTGACGGCAGAGCGCATCTCACCTGTGCTGGGATTGACCTGGAAGATGCCCAAGTAGGCGTCTGCAACAAATAAGGTCCCGTTGGGCCCCGTTCGGATGCCCAGGGGCCTCCCGCAGGTCACCTCATCCTCCGGGGACCCTGCACGCACACACGCCAAGTCACAAGAAGCGCATCCTCGCAGCTCCCCCAACCCCTCACCCCCTCCTCTCTCTCTGAAACAGGGTGGAGTTAACCCTCTTTTTCTGGTCTGAGTTTAGCTCCCTTTTCGAAACGGAAAACTCTTGAGTTTCCCTCATTTCGGGGTTAACAGAGTCGTGCTGTGTGAAAGGAACCCAAGCCATGCTGCGATGTCAACATGTTTCCTCAAGAAACAGGAAGTGGTCCAACGCACTTGCTGCTACAGTTGATGTGGAAAGACCCAACTGGAGACACGCTGACTGACTGCTCCTCAACACAAACAGTACGCCTCCTTGGAAAATTTCCCAGTGTCCATTTTTTTGGGAAGGAGAACCACCTGTTTGTAGCTGGTTTGTTGTTGTGATCATTGAAAACTAACAGCTGTGCTTTTCTTCCAAAGTCAGGACATTTGCGAGGCGGCTGATATCTTTGGGACGCTTTGCCTCACCACAGGGAGGTTTTCCCAATCTGGCCACCGTGTGAATCCTTCGACCAACCAGCTTCACGATCCTGCCGTCGGCCGTTCCGCTATAAAAAACATCTGCACAAACACACACACACACACACACACACAGCAATGGCAAGCTGTTAGCCAGTTAGCTAGCGTCGCCTCCAATGTTGTCGTTTGCGGCGTTGGCACCTCCGATGTTGGCGACGGATTCGGGTCCGGCAATGGCGTCCTCGTAGAGTCTGCGAGCGAGACGCAGCTTGTGGTTGGGTTCCCAGCAGCCCGACCTGGGCGGCTCATTGAAAACTAACAGCTGTGCTTTTCTTCCAAAGTCAGGACATTTGCGAGGCGGCTGATATCTTTGGGACGCTTTGCCTCACCACAGGGAGGTTTTCCCAATCTGGCCACCGTGTGAATCCTTCGACCAACCAGCTTCACGATCCTGCCGTCGGCCGTTCCGCTATAAAAAACATCTGCACAAACACACACACACACACACACACACACAGCAATGGCAAGCTGTTAGCCAGTTAGCTAGCGTCGCCTCCAATGTTGTCGTTTGCGGCGTTGGCACCTCCGATGTTGGCGACGGATTCGGGTCCGGCAATGGCGTCCTCGTAGAGTCTGCGAGCGAGACGCAGCTTGTGGTTGGCTTCCCAGCAGCCCGACATGGGCGGCGGCTCCTTCAGACTGCGGGACGCACAAATGCCATCATCGTCGGCCATTTTGAAGCACCGTCGGAACGCATAGCCAGGAGGGGCTGCTCCCCGATAAGCTGGCGCGTTCTCTGCGTTTCTTGAAAAGTAACCAATGGCCAAGGAGCAATGATATCCCGTGTTGCATGAAATCCACGGGGACCTCGCTATCACATAGAGGTGCACAATATGCCAGGAGAGGGAGTGATGTTGCAGTCAGCGAGGAACCTTGTTAAAGTGAGCGTTACTTCTTGATGCCAAGGAAGCGCGACTACTTTGCACGAGTTCACTTCTCAGGCTGCTTCGCGTTCAACTACGTGTTGCGGTCATTCGGACAGCTAAAATTGGAAGCATTCGGACAACCTGCGGGGTTTGTAAATGATGAATTTGAAGATCGATTAGTGGTCGGACTCACGTTGCAAACATTTTATTTTGGAGGACCGGAATGGATTGGTGGCGTTGGCGTTTCACGCGAAAGGGAAAGATGAGTTGACATGCGAGCGTTTGGCGTTATGAGCGCGGTCGCGGAAGAACTTCTGCTTGACCCTCCAGGCACCGCCGGATAATAGTGCTCGGCGAGTGGGGAATTTGCCACTGATTGCCAGTGCGGTCATTGGCTCATTCGCTGCATTGGCATTCCCAGTTTAGGAACTTTCCCGGTGCAGCGTGTATCAAAAGGCCGTTGCGGTGACCATGAGGACTCACACGAGGACGTCGGGCTGGATGGGCGACTCCAGGATCAGCACGATGACGAGCAGGGGCAAAAGCAAAAAGCCGCCCACGGACAGCAGAGTCACGCGGAACACACGTCCGCTGTACGTCCTGGAACAGGAAGTGACATCATGACCACCAGAAGCACAAGTGGCATCGTTGCAATGACGACGACACACGGGCGGGACAACGAGATGATGGTGAGAGGCTGCACAATGACGGAGACGCAAATGAAAATGTCAATCGCACATTTACCGTAGACTAACAACGGACACAAATGACAACAGACTATGAAGCAAGTAATTCAAAATTGAAATGAAAAACCTTTGATTATTAACTACGCTTAATAATAGTAGCCGTAGTTTGAAGTAAGAAATTGCTGTATGCTCTCTCAAAACCTCCAGCAAAAAATGGTCTTAATTGGCCAAATATGGATGTAAAAAAGGGGGCAGGGAGGGTGCCAATTATTATTAATTATGTCTCTCTGCTAATTTAATACCAAATAGGTGTTTGCCTTATAAATGTGACTTCTGTCAATGCCTCAGGGGCACGTCACCGGGTGTTGTTTGTTGTGTTGACGTCACTCAGTCTCGTGGGTTGCGTTACGTGTGGTTGTGTGACGTCACGTGTTGTGCTGCGCGTAGTCGTGCGGTCGCCTGACCCGTTGCCCTTGCGCACGCGCTCGGCTTGGTGGTCGGTGATGACTTCATGTCGGTTTTGCCTCCGGAAGCGCAGGCCCGCCGTCTCGTTCATTCTGGAGCACTTTGGAGCTTCGGTGCCAGTTCGCTCGCGGTCAGCTTGTCTCGTCCTTGGCCGTTCCTCAAAATGAAAAAGGCAGAGTACGCTCTCGTCAACTCGCCAATTCGATCTCCCAAAGAAGGACGGCGAAAATATTCTTCACGCGAGTCTTTTTGTAAATCGGAAAGGCAAAGCACTTGTCAACTTCTCCCCCTTGCCGCCCGCTTCTGACCTATTTCCGTGAGAGCAGATCGAAATGCATCTTGGGATATTTAGCCAGCCAAGTATCCAACCTTGCATCCTTGATTTAAGATTGCTGACAGGAACAACATCCGGGCATTTCTTGCGTTCTTGCTTTATTCGTACGTTCCATTTGGAACGGGACTGATGTCGTTTCGCGAGATCGCAAGGACGGTATAAAAAGAACAAGAAAGGAAATTTGAGAATCGGCTTCTGTCCTCCGGAACAGATGTAATGTTGACAGCCACACAGCGCATAAGCTTTTCCATTGCTTCCGCTAATACTTCAAAATAAAACACGATCGGCAACATTTTTTTTTTTTTAGTTGTTTTTTTTTTTTTTTTTTTTAATTGAAGGAACAAATATTCATCCGTTATGGAAGCTGCTTCTCCTCATGAGTGTTGTGGACGTGCTGGAGCCTTTCCCAGCCGTCGTTGGGGAGTAGGCGGTGTACACCCTGAATTGGACAAACAACCATTTGTACTAACAGTAACACCTTTTGGACAATTTAGAGCGTTCAATAAAACTACAGTGAAAAAAAAGGATATATATATATATATATATATATATATATATATATATATCGCTTTCGCCCAACTCTACGTGAATGAATGAAAGAGTGATGAGATCAAATTGCCAAAGAAAACAAGATTCCAAAAATATTTGTGTTTTATTTTGCAGCTGCTGCTGTCCCAGTAATAAAAACTTCCATCTTAAATATTAAAGTCAAGCCATCATTTCGAGTAAACGCATGCTCGTCAGGAATGATCACGATTCAACAAGTGGCAACTTTGACACATCGCTAACATCACATTCGGGCTCAGAATTCTCACTTAGCTTCTTGCAATTAGCAACTCGCATTCGTTTGCCGTTGTGCTCGAGGCTAATTATTTCGCACGCTAACACTTGTGTGCAAATGTTGCCTCATCTTTGTCGATGAGTCGCTGCCGCCGGATTGGCGGAGTTTGCGGTGGGTTGTCACGGTAACAAGATGGTATCACGGTGACAAGGTTCCGCCGCGCGTGGTTGCTGTCACGTGACAGAGGGTGCGCTCTATAGGTTGTCGCTATGGTGACAGGAAGCTTCAGGTGGTTGTTATGGTGACGGTTGACGTCACGAATGACCTGTCGCCGCAGTTACAGGTTGTGGCGGTTGAGTTGTCGCCATGGTAACAGGATGCACTGCTGCGTGGTTGTCATCACTGGCGACGGGGGATGTCTCGGTTGGACGTCGCCCTGGTAACATGATGCGTCGTGCGGTGATGAGAATGTGCTCAGGTGGTTGTTGCAGCTGCACCGCAGCCTCAGCACGTCTGTTGGCTTCCCGCCTCGTCCTGCTGCTGCTGTTTGGAGGAGCTGGACAAATCCATGGCCTCCTCCTCCAGCTCTTCCTCCTCCTCCTCTTCCTCCTCCTCCTCTGTGTTCTCCTCATCTTCCTCCTGGCGCCCAACGGCCTCAGGTTCCGGCTCCCCGGAGTCGGGGGTGTGGCAGAAGGCATCAGAAGAACGCTTTGAGTCCAATCGGTCCGAACAGGACCCGGCCGTCTTTTTGGACGACATTTCCAGAGACTTCTTGTGCATTCCTGACAAGACAAGCACACCACAAGCTCCGTTGATTGATTCCACTTCTTCATTCACGACGACAACAAGCAGCCAATACTTGATGCCATCTCACAATATATATATATTTTTTTGACTTTGAAGGATAAGATGACATTTGCGCAGGCAACGAGGAGTTCTACTCTGTCCACGTTTTGCTCAGCCTGTTGTCATGCAAAGGTTGAATTTGTTCCGTGACAATGCTTACGACTAGAAACACTTGCATCTCAAGTCAGCTTTCTCCATTGAAATGAGGAGACTAATTCTCCGAATCCCTTTCGGCCTTCCCCCTCAAAATGGCAGTTATTTTTATTATTATTTTTTTAATAGCATGCCATATCATCAGCTTTGAGCAAAACATGCAGCCATGACATTGGTCCCACAGTTAGCTTCAATTCACTTGATGTTGTGCTGTTCCTTGTAATGTGCGCACCTTGGCCACCTGGGGGCAGAATAACACCAACGCGGCGATACAGGATATGCTGAGACAGTGGGAGATGTCGCAACCCCTCAGCAGTAGTCTGATAGGTGTCATTCTTGGCAGAGGATAAATAGCTGCATAATGTTGATTCTTTCTCGATTCGCAATAGAGGGAGCCCACGTTGTGCACCTTGACTATCGCTGCGCTACAACTAGCAGTGCGACAGCAAAATGATCTGTCCAAATACTGCGTGTGTTTTTCTGTGTACAAAATCACACAATTCCCCCCCCCCCCCCCCCACACACACTCTAAAAAGTCTCCCTTCTCTCTGGAAGCTTGTTGCCGTGTCCTCAGGTCAAAGTCGGCCTTCCAGCCACAGTCAGCATTTTCACGCACTGTCATTTTTGACAAACCCATCATGCAAATTCTACTTGGGGGGGGGGGTGCGCCTTTGCAATCTCTGCCTCTTGCACAGGGATATTGAGTGTGAGGTACACCCCTAACTGGTTGCCAGACAATCGCAGGGCACGCATAGACGAACAACCGTTGGCGATCGCACTCAAACCAACGGACAATCGAAAGTGTCCAATGAACCGAAATAAAAAAGGAGGAGGTTTGTGTGTGTGCGTAGAAGGCGTGCGTGGGTGGGTGCTCGTGTGGTGCGTGTGCGTGGCACTGACGTGCATGCGGCTCACCGAGCAGCCAGGGGGCGCAGGATCCCATCATGCCGTTCTTGGCCGAGTTGAGGATGGACTCGGGAAGCGGGATGGAGTGGCGCACCATGGCCCCGTAGAGGCCGTACTCCGCCATCACGCTGCTGCGGCCCCAGCACTTCTCGCGCTTGCGCCACTTGGCACGCCGGTTCTGGAACCACACCTGCCGGACGCAAGATCAACCGCACGGTCACAACACAGATGTCGCCCATTTGTCCGACTGATGTGAGAGGTTGACGTTTTCTTGAATGCAATATTTGTGAATTGTACGCAGCGTCACCTGGATGCGGTCCTCGGGCAGCTCCGTCTTGACGGCGAGCATCTCTCGAGCATAGACGTCCGGGTAGTGGGCCTCGTGGAAGGCTTTCTCCAGTTCCTCCAGCTGGTGGGACGTGAACACGGTCCTGAGGAAGCGGGGGAGTCTCAACGTTAGGGAAGGCCACAGAGAAGCACCAGGTAGGCACGCTAGTGGTAGCCTGCGCCCACGCCATCTTTGCGCGTTCCCAAGACCCCGAAAAGTTGCCTCGGACGCTCTCTAAGCGAAGCTCAGTTGATAATGCGGCCGTAACGAACGCTTTACGCATTCTGTCCCAACCACCTAAAATGGATCCAGTCACTTTTGAGCCCTAAATTCATCCGGTTTGACTGTCCACATTTTGCTGTGTTGCTTTGCAATCAAACAAAGAAGCGCTCCGATAGAAATGAGGCAGCGTGAGGTTTCCACCCGGCCAAGCCCTCCGAAAAAGTCTCACTCATTGACAAATGCGCTCTTTGGAAGCCAACGAGGGAATGCCGGAAAAGTCGTACTCCTCTGTCTCCGCTTGACACTCGCATTTGATTCCTGCTAGCGAGCTAAGCTAAGCTAGCGAGCTAAACTATGCTAAGCTTGCTTGGAAAGAGAGTGGCGTCCGTCAAAAGTCGGCGGCGCCTTGGAAACGAATCCTTTTGAAACGATTTCAAACGGAACATTTCATCCTCAAAGGCCAACTTGTCCACCGCAGACGGATGCCGTTGATATTGTCGGGATAGAAATCAATGGAGTGACTGAATGATTGCTTCCTTAGTTGAAAAGAAACAAGTGACGCACATACACGAGCTCTTCAACTGCCCATCTCTCTCTCTCACGAGTTAAGTCGAGTTTTTCGGGCAAGTGTCGCCGTTTGAAATGTTTCTGCAATTTTGCCGTGTGGATTTCTTGGGATTCCGAATTGGCGGAAAGTGTAACGTGTCAGCCAATGGGACAAGAGCTTCCCTAAGGAGCTCCGGCAGGTGGTGAGAAAGTTGACTTGTTCGAGTCAACCCTGCTGCGTTTTTCTTCCTTGATTGGTTTCCACTCTGGCTGACTTTTGCTCCCGCTCATGATTATGAGTGAAATTGATTTCCACCCCCCCCCCCCCCCCCG